TCTCTCTCTCTCTCACACACACACACACACACACACACATACACACAGACACACGTGCATATGCAAGTGCACCCACACACTCTGTAGGTTAAAGAACAACTTACAGAAGTCATTTACCTCCTTTGTTTCCTTCCACCATGTAGTTCTTTGAGATCAAACTTAGATTGTGTCTCAACTTGTTGGCAAATCTAATAAATTGGTAACTGTGTTGTTCTAGCTTCTTGTGTATTAGTCACAGTGAAGTTATGGTGACAGTTTGGGTATCTTTCTGCACTGGGCACAATGAAGCAGATAAGGCAGAAAAGCCTCTTGTGTCCTAAGATAAAAACTATGGTGTGTCCTAGGTTTGGTCCTTTTAGCTCTGAGGTTGGTCATTCAGTCTGGAATGGAAAGCTATTCTTGGTTCTGATGCATCTTAATCGTACCATTGTATTTGGCCTTGGGCATTGGCATCCATGTCCAATGCTGCTACATGACCAATCTTTTATTGCATGATCACAGAGACAATACAACAAAATGTTGTTAAATTATATTAGCATATAATTAAGTCTAAAAGTAAATGTACAGTCACTCAACAGTGAATACCTGGAACCCTAGGTTTTAATCAAACTTCTCCAAGGCAGGAAGCTTTCAGAGGAGGAGACTGGATGACAATGTGCAAATGGATAATGGCTAAAACACTCATGGCATATTAGGGCTGATCTTCAACCTCCTTAGCAACTGGCCCAAATATTCAGGATTTGCCTAATAAAGATGGTTCCCTCCTTTTGCTCCTATTTCCATCACATGTTGTACTAAAGAGATAGGCAGAGTCATCTCCCTTAATGAAACACTGTGCTTTCCCCCAAATCCACACCCCTCACCCATCTGCAGCCCAGTGCATTCCCTGTGAGCCACCATAAGGTTAGGCCATCCTTTACGAGGCCTGACCAGCAAGAAATAACTTCTTTTGTATCTTCAGCTTCTTCCCTTAGATGCTGGCTGGAACCTTTGCCTTTTCTGGTTCTTGGGCCCCCTTGCCCTTTCTCTTTGCTCCTTCCTAATGGTGGCTGCTTGTCTGCCAGGTGTCTAGCCTCCATGCTGGCTTAAATGACCTGGCTTCCTCCCACTTCTCCTTCATTCTTCTCTTGGCAGCTAGTAAGAGTGACACCTTGCCTGCCATGATGAAGAGTGAGGTGGGCTAGGGAGGTGTCTTAAATGCTAATAAAAAATGCCTTTTAGCTTCCATTTGAATCAATTCTTAAATTCTTTCATTAATGGGACTAAGAAGCCCAAGAAGAGATTTCAACTTCCCTTGTAAGAAAAGTTGCTTCCTTGATTTTAATAATTTGTTAATTAACTAATTATTTGAAAACTTATCCTTACATGTATTGGCTCCTGGAAACTGGTTTTTGAAGGAATATTTTTACTGCACTTATCTATTGACAGAAAAAATAAAATATGCTCATACAAAAGGAAAAAAAAAACAAAAAACAAAACAACAACCCAGGGAACTAAAGAGGGAAGAAGCTGATAATTCCACCGGGCAAGAATAAGACTACTACCACAATTTTTAAGCCAAATTTGAAGCATGTTTTATTAAATACTGGCCAGGACCATGAATACTGGTCAGGTCCACACCAGAGACCCATGCTCAGAATATGGTAGTGAATCATGGTAGTCAGGGCTTTATAAAGGCAAAAGCCTCAAGACTACATACAGACTTCCCACCTTCATACAACCCACCTTAGTCCAATCAGAGGTAAAGCATACCTCTTGACATACTTCCTATCTATGCACCTCTTGCCTACATCCTGTGCAGTTGGGTAACCAAGCTTGTTTACAGAAGTGAAAACATGTGGCTTGCTATCTTATATGAACAACAGCGCCCAGCATTCCAGGAAGTTATTGGTCCTTGGGAAAGTAGGGTTTATAGGTTAGTGGTGTTTTTGTTTTATTGATCTCTTAAGCATGGTAATTTAAATATAAAACATAGAGTTAGTCATCACAAAGCCTGGGTCATCAGTGTGTTATCTGAGGCCTGAAAGAGGGGAAAAGCATCTAAAAGAGAAAGAAGCATATTATAAAGCAGAGGCAGTCCAACAAAACGTGAAGACTAACTGAATGACTGAATGTGAAATCTCAATGAGTTCCTCCACGTTCTCACATCTCAGGGAGACTGGAAAGGTAATGCCTGTGGCTTCAAACATCCTGCCTGCCAGATACCCACCAAGATGATCCCAGAGAGAGTGGGGTTCATGGTTCAGAATGGAGCTCTACACCAACTGGGTGGGGAGACCTCACAGTTCACATCCCTAGGTTAACTCAAGCATCAATATTCCTTTCATCTAACTTTCACCATGAGAAAAGATAAGCATGTCATATGAATACTGTATTTTAAACTTTTGAGAGGGCATTAGCCCTCTTCCCCCAACAGAAAGCCCAATGGAGGAATTCATGTTTAAACATACCTTATAAAACTATGGCCTATCTTTTGAGTCCCGAGAACACTGCTGAGAAGAATGGACTAATTTACCACTCAGGGCACAGGCATTTCATCTTTATTAACTGGCAAATAACCAAGAACTAATCAAGCAAAATGGTGTTTTGAT